CTGCCCGAGGCCCATTTTACACATTTCTGTCTGTTTCTGTCTATGGTATGTAACACCCTCGTGGTACCTTACACTGCCAGCCCTCCCCACCAGCTTAAAGCCATGAGCCCTCCCCACCAGTTTAAATCCTTCGGGAGACTCTTGGCCTTGGCAAGAAGCAGCTCTTTAGTGACTGAGGCCCTAGCATGGTGTGGGCCTCCTCATCAGTGTGTGTGTCGTGTCTGTGTGTCCGTTCCCGTCCCTCCAGCACTTACTGAGTGCGGGTGTAGCTAAGCGGGGTGTAGCTGTTGTCTCAAAACCTGAGTTCGTGTCCCGATTTGCAATAAGCCAATCTCACTCGCTTGAGACGAGATAGCGCTTTCTAATAAAAAGTTGCACAAGTTTGGGTACTGGTGTCAAACTATCACCCTCGGTGCTTTCTGAGGTGTTTTTTTACACACAGTTTTACCACTAATGGATTTCCAAAGACATCCCACTAATATCTGCTGGATTAGTAATTTGGATATTGCTACACAGGGTGAGTAGGGGTTTCTACTTGGGCTGGAGTGTCCTGCCCAGTGGGTGTGATTTTTAGTATTGTAATGAGGTTCCCATAAGGAACCAGTAGCTGACCTTTCAGAAATACATGTAAACATGATAATGGTGGATACATATGTTTTACATATTGTCCAGGATGTTTCTTCTCCAGGGATGGCCAACTCCTGATTAGAAGTTCCTTTACTAATCATCCTTCAAGGATAATCCTCCTACTCCCAGGCATAGTGTACATACTTGTCTTTCCTCAGTACATTCAGTCAGTCTACTCAGCTTCAGAGTTATTTCAATATAGCATTCAAATTCTTTTTGGCCAGATAACATAGCAACTAGATAAGTTGATAAAAACATGCGAGGGTTTGATGGGATCCTTCGTGGAAAAAAACCAAACAGCTGTGCGTGGTGCTTTGTCTTGCTTTGTCTAAGGCTCTTTTCACTTTTCTTGGGTTTGTATTGCATATTTTTTGTATTGCTTGTAATAGTCAAACAAGATTTGCTTTTTTACCTGGTTTGAAATTTGCTTTCAGACATAAATGATGCGCCCACACACAAGTATTTAAATAGGGAGCAGTATTTTTCCTGAATCTTTTTTGCTTAGGCTTTTTGTTTTTGTATTTCAAATACAGCTTTCAAAGGTTTTGGATCTGCCACCAGAAAATTTAATAAAATCCATATCTGCAGTTCCTGTCTCCAAAAAACGGTAGTATTTACATTTTATCTTACAATGTTATGTCATGTTTTATTATTTTGTGTTGTGCTTATTATTGCAAGAGTTCAAGAGTACTTTAGGGAAAACAAAATGCAGAACAAAACAAACCTAAGCTAACACACCAATATAAGAAGACAGCTAACTCTAATTAAATCACTGTATGTTTTTAAGCAAGCTCAAACCAGTCCTTAAAGGGACTGTAAAAGTTCTAGGCAGTGCTTGAGTGGGAAGTGTTTCAGCATTGATGATCTGAATGTGAAAAACTGCTTAGAACCAATGTGAAGTTGTGGATTCTTTTTTCAGTGTCCTGCTAGAGAGTTGTAAGGATGTTAGGAAGTAAATGACATGTATTCATGAGCATAATTTTTGTTTATTCTCAAATAGTGTTCCCACCATGTTCCCACCATATCCACTTTCTGATTGTATTAGAACAAAGGTAATATTTGGCCTTCTGTTGCTGCTTTCTAAATGTCGTGAACAGGCTAGGTTACACTTGGAAATTAAACGTTATGTGGAGAGTCATCTTGGATCTGACAAATCTACCCATCATTTCAACAGATTTTCTTTCCTGTATGTTTTTTTCCAGGTGTGTTGCTGATTTCCAACTTTCCATTGCTTCCATAACGGAAAACAATTCTAATGATTGCTTAGCACAAGACCTTAATCTTCAAGCTCAGAAGCTAGCTGAAAGGGTATGCTAATGCATTAATCATATATTTATGCAATAACCAACATAGAGACTAGAGGTGTAACAGGTATCATAAGGTAAATAGTGTCTTTCTTCAAGCATCTGTTTGGATCAGAGTGCTTTAATGACTACACCTAGTGTAATGGTACACAGAATCTTCACAAGGAATGGGAGAGGCAGTTTTAGTTAAGATTCTTCTGAAATTACTGTTTTAAATGAGAGTAAATAATATTTGTCAAGTTGGGAGGGTACCTAAAGGATAGGCCATGGTCTCTACTGTTGCCCAACACTTGAGAAAGAAATTCAGTGTGCAGTGGCTTGGAAAACCAGGCTGCAAAATCTAGCACTAAATGGCAATGGATAAATTTAGCTCATGGGACAAACAGGCCAGACTTTCAAATCTCTAACTGCTTGAAGTTGAGGTATCTTAGAAATGCAATTTTTTCAGGTGTGTTAGTCTGGAAAATCGAGGTACACGAGGTGTAAAGGCTACAGCATAAAAAAGAAGCAGCATGCAAAACAAGGTCTATGGAAGTGACACAAACCTTGGAGGAAGGGAAGGAAATAAAAATCTGGAGAGGTTAGCATGCATAAAGTTGACAAAACGTGGTATCAGAAAGGTGGTACTAATGTTTGAGGGATCATTTGAGCTGAAAAAATAGCATTTACAATCAAAAAAATGTATTGCTGATGCCAATGCAGAGGAGTGTAAACTAGAGTATTGTGGCAAAGTTACTTGCAAAGAGCAGCTAGGTTGAATAATTAAAGTGCAAAGGATTCTTTATCTGCATCAGAAAGAGCAAGTCTGAGAGGGAGTCATAGAATCATAGACTGGCCTAAGCTGGAAGGGACCTTAGAGATCATTTTAATCCAGCCTCCCTGTTGCCAGGGACGCCACCTGTCGACTAGATCAAGCAACACATGGGGACCAAAGGGCAATCGAACCCGCGACCTTAGCGATGTTAGCTCTATGCTCAACTGACTGAGCTAACCGGCCCCCTAAATCAGTTGAGTTGCCATATGATCTGGAGTTAAAAAGGACAAATAAACCCCTTCATAATAGTATTGAGAAACTAAAGTATTTCTCCATGTCATTCTTCACTGCCGAGATGTTGAAGAGGTCCATATATTGGACTTATTCTTGTAACAGGTGAGTATTCTGACTCATGTGAAGGAAGAACTAGTGGTGCTCAGGTGTACAACAAAAGTTCTGAAACAACTTAAGGATGATCTGGAATCATAAAATCATTCAGACTGGGAAGGACCTCAGGAAGATAAAATCATTCAGGTTGGGAAGGACCTCAGGAGGTTATCTGCTTCCATCTCCAACTCAGAGCAGGTTGTTGAGGATTTTTGGATGAGATTGCTGAGGGCTTTTTAAATCCTGTCAGATTTTGAGAGCCTGCAAGGGTTTGACAGCCTCCCTGGGCAATCTGTACCAAGAACTGTTGCATCACAGTAACAGCTTTTTTTCTTTGTGTCTAGTCTGTCACTTGAAAAACAGCTGGTGTTTCCAGTGTTTAGAAAGCTGCAAATTTTGTCTTTCTTTTGTTGTTTGTGGGTCATTATATTAACCTGGGACACTTAGCCCTACATTTTTACATGGAAGGGCAGTTGTAACAATAAAGAAGAACAGACCATCAATATAAGCCCCAAAACTGAACAGACTGCACTGATAAGACAAAGGAAAAATAATCAATTAATCTCTTAGGATGGTTTTCGTTAGGTAGTCTGTAAAGGAGATGCATTGAATGTGATTTGTTTAGACTGGTTATATCATCCACAAAGAAGGTAAGCAGTGTAGAAATTAGCAAAATATGACTACATATAAAAAACTAGCAGAGAGAAAAATGTAGGCAGTTATCAGTTTTTGTCATGGCACTTCGTCATGGCACTCAGTTTTTGTCACCAACAGTTGATGGAGTGCCTCAAGGTTCAACAGTGTGTTCTAAGTCTCTTCTGAGGAAACAGGTTGTGCTATCTGAAATGCAGATATTTAGGTTAGGCAGAAGAGATGAGAGTTTTTCTGGTTGACTGAAATACCCTAAATAATGAGGCACTATGATACTAAATGAAACCTAATGTGCTTTGATGTGCTGAGAATTGTCTGTCAGAAAGGTCAGAACTGTCTGGTTTCCATGTGCTTTTGATTTCATCTAGCTGATTCGTTCTTCTTTTATCTTTGGACTGTTCAGTTTTTTGTGGAGGGGACGTTGTGTTGTGGGGGGTTTTACACCTCTGTACAGCATAGTGGCATTCTGGTCCAAGCCTTAGGCATGGGGGGATCTAGTAACTAAAGAACCGCAAGGCACTTGGAGGAGAGTTCTTAAAGCTCTGGAGAGGCCAAACGAGCACTTATATTAAAGACCCATAAAAAACACTGAGATGACAAATGACAGATTATGTGGAAACATTTAGCATAACAAATAGCACGGAGAAAGTCCGGTGGGAATTTCTACTTTGTCTCTGCCCTGTAAGTAAAAAATACCTTTCATAAAATGTTAAGGTGGGAAATTCAGAGTCAATACAAGAAAGATTGTTTCATGGAGCTTGCAAATGAACATTGGAATTTGTTATTGCTGGAGTTTGTGAAAGTTACAGAACTTCAAGGCTAACCATGATTTTGTCTCTGGGTTAAATTAGTTTCTAAGCTGGAGACCTAACATGAGGTAGAATGTCTTCTTCATGCTTCAGTAGGAATGTATAGCTTTCCTCTCTCAAAGATATTATCCAAGTGATAAAGTGATTATGTTGGTTTTATATATGATTTCTGTTCCTGTTTTGTTTGCTTTTTTGTTTGTGGGGTTTTTTTTAGACCATTTCTTGGCTGTGCAAGACAACTACTTTAAGAAGAAACTGTCAAACTTGACAGGCTGAGATGCAAAACTCTCAGCCTGTGAAGAGACTAAAACTTGCGTAAAAAGGAGGTTGACATTAGGGGTTCAGTGTCCAAATGTTCTTTATGAGTTCAGAATTTTGAAAACATGCCTTATGGAAATCATAAATGAAATTTTTAATAAATTAGCCTTTAACATCTTTATTTTGTATCACTGAATACTTGACATTAAAGCCAGGAACTTCGAGAAACAGCAGTAAAAAACTTATGTCTCAAGTTTTCTTTAAGACATCGATACTGATTTTTTTCTTTTTTTTTTTTAAAGTGCTGTTAGGTACTGTAAATTGTCAAATGTATCTCAGCTTTTGTGTATACAAAGAGATCCTTTAGTGGATTAAATTAGTATTTGTAGTGAATTGAATTACAGTTTTCCCGTTTGCCTGTTTGCATGGAGTTTCAGTTTCATTTTGTTCTTTCAGCTAAAGTGTGATGCTGTAGTGAGTGAAATCAGCGCTGGTCCAGGAACGGTGAACTTTACAATAAACAAGGAATTATTAGCAAAAGTGAGTACTATATTTCAGGTGCATTAAGGTAAAAATAAATTCCTTAATATAAAACTACAGAATGCTTAACGGTTGTCTTAGAAAGGTATTTTCTATGTAAAACTGTCTTTGATAAGTTATCCTTGAGGATTCCTGTTGCTAATTTGATATGTAGGGCTAGTATTTGGAACGAGGCTCACAAAAGTTTAGCCTTATGAGGAAACATTCACTGATCATCCGAACTACTTTTTTTCCTCTCTCTGCTTTAAAAGGCAGGCTTGGCATGTGCTTTGAGTTGCTACAGCATTCAACTCAAAAGTTTTGACACTGCATCTAGACTGTTGTTTAAAATAGAGAAGGGTGATAAAAAGATACCTGAAATAAAAACATTTGGCAGCAGATCTGTCATTACATACTTTGCTAAAATAAAAAAGGGTAGGGGGGAAGATATATGCCTCATAAGTCCAATGCTGGACTGAAGAGTTGAAAGCTTCATATGCTAAACCAGCAACTTAATAAAAGGAAGATAGCGCTCAGTGTATAAAAGTAGTGTCTTGGTTATACTCTTTATGGGTTATTTGCAAGACCTTCATAAAGATACACAGATGGCTGGTACTGTTAGACTGGGGACTGAATGAAAGCTTTGCAAAGCCAGTTCAACTAACCTGTGAGCCAGCTACGCTGTGTTGTTGTTCAGGGCCTTAATCTAGAGGGTTAGCAACTCATGGAAAATGATATCGTGGTCTTAGAAAGTTAACCACACATGAATTAGGGACAAGAAATCAGGTCTTACCTAATTATATTGAAGCCCTCTTCCTCTCAGGACTTCCACTGTGTCCCTTAAGTTTGTATTCCTCTCTACCTGAATGCTAAGACCCTTTGTGCTGGTGAACTGCTAATGTTAGGCATGCCTATCAGTCAGATGCTTAATTTATTGCCTAAAAAAAAAATCCCTGTAATTTTTCATTAGCTATTTGTAATTCTCGTGATAAGAACATAGCAGCTGACTATTTACTGAAACAGTAGTTCCAGTGGTAAATTTTATTCATGGACAAGATTTCACAATGTGCTTTATCTGCAGGGATTCTAGTAATTTTAATGATTCAAGAAAAGCAATGTGTCTGGCCTAGCAGAGCTTTGCTGGAAAAATGTAGAATTAGGACATGTAATTTCGTATTATGTCCCTGAGGAGAGAGGAGGAGGTAGAAACCTAGCTGTGACCTCCACTGAAAAGTAGAATAGGTCTGTGAGTAAATTTGACAATTTGTGTGGGTGTCTAGCTTACCTTCTTAGGTACCATAGTAAGAATAGAATGAACATTTTTTTACAGGCACCATCCTTTTTAATTTACTCAGTATCTATTGCAGAAGAATTTTAAAATGATTTATTTTAGGGGGGGAAGAAAAGTTCCCACCAAATGGAGCGAGATTTCCGTTTTTGTTCACATTGTTAAAGGGCTCTGATATCTTTAGGAAATTTGTTCAATACACATGTTAGGTTTTGTAGAGTATTGGCATCTGTGTGACCAACTGAAGTATGTAGAGGATGTACAGGGACTTACCGTGTTCTGTGAATGCATTACTGATAATATAGTCAGCATAGGATTCCTCAAGCTGTTGAGGAAATATTTTAAGGCATTTTTTAGTCTCCACACTTTCAAAATAGACATGCTTTTGCAGGAACCAGTTGCAATGTCCTTAGAGACTTGGAAGAATAGGTGCTCGAACACATGAGGATTGATTAGTTGGATTTCATTGCTGCTAAAGGAGTAGACAGCAGGCTGTCTTTTTGTGCCTAGAAAAAACCAGCAGTTTTAGTAGAATGTGAATGTATTATTGTTTCCTTTCCCTGTTACAGACTTAAATGACTTGGCAGTTCTGAGGAGGCTTAAATTCTTGCACAAGTCTCCTGTTTTTCTGCTTCCTTGTTGTATAGTCATGCGCTGTTTAAATGGGAAAGGAAAAAAAATATTAGGCAGATGCTATTGGAACAGGTTGCCCAGGGAGGTTGTGGATGGTCTGGCCCTTGAAGTGTCCGAGGCCAGGCTGAATGAGGCTTTGAGCAACCTGGTCTGGGGGGAGGTGCCCCTGCCAATGGCAGGGGGGTTGGAACTAAATGATCTTTGAGGTCCCTTCCAACCCAAATCATTCTGTTCCTAAAACAGATTAATGGAGAAATATGGTGGACAGTGATATAAAGTAACTGGCAAAAGGTAGAAATGTTAATCTGCTTCGTGTTCTAGGATCAACAGAGAAAGCAATTTAAACATATATTTTATATAAAATTAGAAATAGCTAGGCTTCCTTTGTCTGTGTCACTTAAACTACTGCTTGATGTTTAAATATGCTGTTAGATTTATGAATGGCGTGAACGTTCCCTGAGCTATTGTTGCAGTCGACCTGCAGTGAACTGCTGGAGAGGTTTCTGTAGTAGTTATTTTGTGTCTTAAATTGGCTTTAGTGAAAACTAAAACTCTTGTACTTCTGTGTGGGATTTCCTGAAGAGAAGGAAATGTGTTCATGTGCGATACAGGTGACCTGCGTATTTGTGGTAACGCTCATGCAGTCGAAGCTCATGGGATTTCTTGCAGGCTCTCAGTCACAAAGAGTGTGTGGAAGCTCTGATATATCCCAAAGCCTTAGACCTACATGATCTGGCTGTGCTGTGCACAGCAGGTGTCCCCTGTATTTTCACCTTGGCAAAACCTTGGATATGGGACAGGACTCTTAGGAATTTCAAGGAAATGTCTAAACACCTCAGAGTGTGTCTAGATAAGATGTGTTTGTGGAGAGACACTTTAGAGAAAGCCAAGAGGTATGTTACATACCTTTTTTTTTAATAATTAAAAAAGGAAAAAGAGAACTTGTTGAGAATGTTTTGGCTGCATAATGAGGTGAATTCTCTAGTCAACTTTACTGCTTAGAATCATAGAGCAGTTTTGACTGGAAGAGACCTGCAAGATCGAGTCCAATCTTTGTTCTAGTCCTGTCAACACCACTGAACCATGTCCCAGCGCAACATCCACCCCTCTCTTAAACACCTCCAGGGATGGTGACTCAACCGCCTCCCTGGGCAGCTTGTTCCAATGGCTGACAACCCTTTCAGTAAAGCTCTTCTACTTTTTTGTACAAATCTACGTTCTGGTTCTGCAAAGTACTCTTTTAATTTTAAAATATGTTACCTGAATTAGGAGGGGTGAGGGTCCTGGTTAGAACCCTCTTTATGTGAGAACTCTCTCATTTTCCTTAAAATCACTGTTCTGCCCACATTCTTGGACTTAAGTTTTCTTGCTCACTAGTTACCCCTGGGTTACTCTCTTGCTCTTTCATGTTATATAACTAAAAAATGATAAAAACTAGGCTTTTCACTTCCTTTTAAGTTTCCAGCAAAATCAGCCTTGACTTTCACCAAAATCTCTGCCTGTAATTTCTCTAACTTTTTGATTCATCAGATCCAGCTTTCAAAAGTTAGTGGCATTCTCGTCTGCATGCGAGATGATGTTTGCTTGGCAGACCAGCCACCTAATTGCTAATGTGAATAAAGGCTGTAGGATCAGACTCTTGTGTACTTGATAAACAGATTTCCTGATCTGGCTTTGTGTTACTAAAACCTGCTTTTATATTTTTTTCCTTTTTTTCTTTTTTTTTCTTTTTTTTTTTCTTTTTTTTTTTAAAATCTTCTTTGTGGTTTAGACTGTGTTGCAGCAGGTGTTGAAAGATGGCTCAGAGTATGGAGTGAAAAGTGAGCTTTTCTCTGCAATGCCTAGACAAAAGGCTGTGATTGAGTTCAGGTAAGTGCATGTGTTGAGTCCTTTGAGAAAATTGCTTTGTCTGCTGATTGATATTTTGCTGATTGATTTTCATTGCTGTAATGTATGATGCCCGTGAAGTTAAACCATATTTATAGTATTATATTCAGCTATATTTGACACTCTGATAAATTTGCCAAGCAGAATATGAGTTATATTTAGGGAATTGAGGCTTTTTTCCAGAATGTATTTTTGGTATTTAAGTTGACAACTCATTCTGCCCACCACAAAGAATATTCTCATTTAGTGCATAATAGCATTCAGTTTTTAAGTAGGCTTCTTTTATTTTGTTATCAAGAAACATGATCTGAATTTTCAGCTACTAACCCATTTCTTTTTTCAACTTAATATCTTCCTTCCTTACCTACTAAAGCAGCCAGGCGTTTGTCTTATTAAATCATCTCAATTGCTGGCCCCAGTATTTCTGTCCAGTATTTTGTTTACAATCACCTGCTCAAGGTATCCATAGTGACTGTCTCAAATCTCTTTATGTATAAATATTCATTTATACTCCCTCTGCAGGCTTCCATAATCACAGAAAGTAAGCATTTGACTTTAATTTGAAGAGTGAATTTTCGTAACTGAACTTCCATTTTATTATTGTGGCAAAAAACTGTGTGTGCCGTTGTTGGTAGAAGAAGATGGGATTTTAGTTACTGCCTCTTGTACACAATGTCCCCTGTCCTGGTATCAAATTTCTCTGATAAAAATTGAAGAGAATGATTCGTATGTCCAAAACATGTAAAAAGGTGAGAAGGTGGTTTAAGTCCTTTGATACTGGTATAGTTGGATTTCGGAGGCTTCTTTGTTGTGAGGTTGGTTATGGTTTCTTTTTCCCTGTAACTGGCTATTAATTAATTTGGAGGAAAAGCTGTTTGGATAGAAAAATTTGCTGTCTAGAACAGAAGCTAATTAGGAACTTTTAAGGGAAAATTGAGAACGGTGGGTTTGTTTCAGTTGTGCTATATGCATGCGTTGAATTCTTTTGACTTTGTGATCTGGCAGTTTTGTATATTGAACAAACCTTATTTGTGAAAATTTGTTACAGCTCCCCTAATATTGCCAAAAAGTTTCACATAGGACATTTGCGTTCCACAATAGTAGGTAAGTATGTGTTTAATTGCCTCCTAAAAGTTTTTTTTTTTTTGCTTCACTTGACAGGTAAACACTGCTAACCTTTTGCTCTTCTAGTGGAGTGGCTGTGTCACGCTCAACTTGCTAATTAAAAACCTTTTGCTCATTATACAGTGAAGAAAAGAGCGTGGTGTGTTGATGGCAGGTTTATGAAGTCACGTGTAATACAGTTTTATGACTATGGACATTAAACAAAGTAGTGTAAAATTATTCTACAAAGACAACAAGGACAGTTTTCACTGAGATGTTATGAGAGTCCTTTGAATTTCAAATTTCTAATTTGCACTGGACCTCAGAGCAGTCAGCTAGTCATGTCTTTGTGGCTGTCTTGCAAAAAACTTGCTTTTTGTATGTTAATTACTTTATGCCAGCGTTACTAACACAGTTGCTGTAATTTGTAATGGAATAATTAGTAAGTTTACTGTGCAGTACTCTAATGGCATATGGAAAACATTTCTCCCTCCTTTCCCTTCTCTCACAATAAAAACTAGGGGGTTATTAGCTGAAGACCTACAGCATCTGTGTAGCTAATCCGTTAGTCTTTAATTATATTTATTATGTATAATTATTAATTACATAAAGTTAATAATTCTGCTTCATCATGGACTGCTAGTTGAATGAAATTACATATTTTGGGCTCTTTGTATTTCATTTCTAGACCCTTTGTTATAGAAAACAAAGCACTTTCAAAGATAGTTCTGTAGATCAATATTTGTCCAATAGTAAGAGAATTAATTGATTATGGAGAATGGAATTGGAAGTAATTGAAAGCTATAATATGGTGTTATAATAACAGACGAAGACAAAGCTTTCTGCATGCTTTTACATCCGTACTGTAATTAAAAGGTACCCTTGGAGCACAGGAAAATAGAGGAAGGGATGCAGGTATTTCTTCCTTGTAATTCTATGTTGTAGGTAAGCTCAGGGGAAAGAGGAGGAGGTTTTGTAGTAATAGCAGTTAGAACCAAGACGTGTTTATGTGATAGGAAGTTCTAAGTGTGTCAGACACATAGTGTGTTAAGCACAGGGCCCAGTACTGTTCTAGCAGTATGTACAGATTGAGGACTTAATGTTCTCTATTTAATGTAACAATTAACCGTAGTTAGTGAATTTTGAGTACTTGCTTAACCTCCTGGTATGAGGTTGCCTGACTGTGACAGGAATTATGTATTCTGCCACATATTTATGAGAATACAAAAATACTTTAAAAAATGTTTTTCATACTCATATACTTTGCAGTATGTGCATGCACATACATGTATATGTTTTTATAATTTGTATGAGATGCTTTATGGCACCTTTTAAATGCATGGTCTTTCCTCTTCTGCCTAGAATACTATTGCTTTTAGTCGTGAAGCATCTTAACAAATTACGTGGAGTAGTTCATCTGATTGCTTTTCCTCTCCAAAAAATGCTTTTGTTGGCATGAGAGACTACTTGCAACTGAATAATAATACCGATTTTGTTTCCTTTCCAGGGAATTTTATAGCAAATCTCAAAGTTGCACTGGGACATGAAGTGATAAGAATAAATTACCTTGGTGACTGGGGCATGCAGTTTGGTATGCTTTAATATTGGTTTCTCCTGTTCACCTTTCTGCCGTATAATACTGTCTAGGTTTCCAAATTCAGTTTTTCAGGCACATTGGATTCACTCTGGGCTTATGAACAGTAATATTGTTTTTTCATGCATATAATATGTAGTCAATCTTCTTAAAATATGAACAAAATGATCCACACTGATTTATCAGCAGTATGCCCTGTACTAAGGTACAAGAAATAACAGAAGGAAATTTACTGAGCAGTCCCTCTGTTCGTCAGTAGCTACTCTTTCAGATTACATATGTTTAATTTAGATCTTATTTTTAAAGGGCAGTATGAATGTTTTCTGAGTGTGTTGGTTATACCTTTGGAGGTCTCCAGACAAAACGTGTACCCGTTACCGCAGCTGTTGTATGTCTACTGCGATATTGTCTTCCTTATTCATATTTTGCATGTGTAACAGTTGTGGAGGATTTAGCTTGCTAACTTACCTTTGCCACTCTGGTACACGTAACGATAGAATAATTTTAAGAAGATGGATGTTTTATTTGGCTGATTTTTTGTGTGTCGTGGTGGTTTCTTTATCTGTTTGGGATTTTTTTTCCTTTTGGAAACATATACATTATTCATAGAGCATAATTAACTTGCACAGCAGCTGCATTTTGGCAGGAGGAGGCCTGGAGGGTTTGTATCTTTAAGGATATCCCAGCACTTCCTCCTAAATATTCAAAATGTAACAAAAAAGAGGTGTGTATGTGGTGAATGTCTAAGTGAGTAGGCACTAGAAGACTCTCAGGCCTGGGTGCACATGCGTTCGTATGCACGCACATACACACTGCTGCCTCTTCTGAAATGTCCAGCAGATAAGTGAGGACTGAAAAATCTTCTTATGTGGACCCTAACATGGCTTGGTATTTATTCCCTGACCGCAGATCACTTATGTCCAATTGCTGGATCTGGAAATATCCAGTTGACCCATCCATAGGTTTCATAATTTTGTTCATTTCTGTTGTTAATCGTGCATTTTAAATTCATAGGATCCTAGGATGTGTTGGGTTGGAAGGGACCTTTAAAGGCCATCTAGTCCAACTCCCCTGCCAGGAGGATGGACACCTCACACTAGACCAGGTTGCTCAGAGCTCCATCAAGCCTGACCTTGAATGTCTCCAGGAATGGGACATACCCTGGAGACATCCTCTCTGGGCAACCCGTTCCAGTGTTTCACCACCCTCATTGTGAAAAATGTGTTCCTTCTGTCCAATCTAAATCTACCCTCTTTTGTTTAAAACTGTTACCCCGTGTCCTGTCACAACAAGCCTTGCTAAAAATATTGCTTCCACCTTTCTTATAGGTTCCCTTTATGTACTGAAAGGCTTCGATAAGATCTCTCTGGAGCCTTCCTTTTTCCAGGCTGCACAACCCCAACTTCCTCAGCCTGTGTTTGTAGGAGAATTTTTTTGATCCATATTCTCCTCTCCTTTTCTAATTCCTCCCCTCAAGCTATTTTTGAAAAAAATATTTTTAGATATTTGGAAAAGGGCACTTGTGCCTACTTCCTCAATCTTGAAAGCTGGTATACCTGTGAAAACTAAAAATCTCCCCCACATCTTTTGCAGTAGGTTCTGAAAACAGTCTACTTACAGTTCTTATTTAATTAGCAAACGCAAAGTGCAACATCTATTAAGCAGTCACTTTTGCTCCAGTCCTTACACTGGGCAGTGCAGCCCTTACACTGACCCCTCCATTCTCACTGGTACCACTGTTGGTGCTAACATCAATGAATTAATTTTATGAACAGAGCTAAGTTAAAAACTTAGTGTAAATACACTGCTTCTACTCCATTTATGTAGCAGAGTAGGTAACTGAAATATATTCAGTTCTACCCAGTCTCCTTCTAGAGCATAATTCCTGGGTTTTAGGCAGTTGGGTAAAACATTCTTAAGACTGCGAGAGCAGTAATAGAATGTTTCTGCCATTGTTAAATGTTTTCCTTTGCAACTTCTCTTTCCTGATCCTGTTTCTGATCAAACAATTGTTTATAGCAGAGCTTTGTTTCACTTAGGGTGTGTTTCATAGGAATTGAATACAGAATGAGTTCACCTAAAAGTCAATAATTTCATCATTGCATATTTCATTCATTTTTGCCCCTTAGACATAATTTTATCGCTATGCTGTTGCATAATGAATGTGGCAATGACAATTAAGCAGTGAAATGCAATGTGGTTCAAGGGCTTCTCAACTGACCTCGTACATTCTGAAGATAAGAAATTGTGCTCCTAAGTCTGAGTATCAGGAATTTTATGTACTTTAATGCAAAGTTTCCTGAAGGTATAAAGATCGCAATGCTGGTCATTTACACGTGTACCTGTTGTCCAGCAAACAACTGTTAAAATAATGCTCTTTCATCCAGTAGTTCCAACTGTTTCTTACAAAATGGGTGCTCTCCTCTTTATTTGGGCTGGCTCAGCTCAAATGTATGATGGATTTTACAACAAATAGCGTAGTAATGCTGCAGGAAATTATAGCATAGGAATATTATTATAATGGTCCTTTCCCAGAAGCAGTGCTATAATTAACGATCTGTCAGTATTTCAATTATAACTTCTATTGTCAGTGACTTTAAGATGTTTTATTTGAAAATGTGTTTTGCTGAGAACTGTGGCAGAGGAGTCTTCAACCTTTAGGCAGGTTTCTTGAGGTAACAAGGCTTATGCAGTCACACTGTCCATCTATCTTACTGTCACTCTGCTCCTAATAAATTTTGGACTCATTGGGCAACTTCAGCCCGATCTGACAAAGAAAAACAGCTCCAAGAGAACAAATTCTGTTTGGTTTTGTGACAGTTGGCAGCTGAGTAGGGATAGAAATAAAATGTAGTGCCCTCTGGGAGAGAAAGTTCACTTCTGTATTTAGCCTGCCAGCTAACAAGTTGACACTTCTAAGTCAGAATCGGTCCCAACACATACGGCATCTTGTGAGTATAACAAGAGCTGGGGATAGTTTGGGGAAACACAGTAATATGTGGAAGGGTGTGCTTGGGTTAAGGGAAAACTGGCATTCTTGCTGGGGGTTGGAGTGTGAAGGCTGCGTTGAAAAGCGGAACGTGTAGGTGCACCAGCTCTGGTTGCTCATAGAGCAAGGTGTCCTTAAAGAAACATGCTTTTAATAGAATGAGGCTGATTCTATTTCCTAAGCCCTAACTTGTTTTTCTTACCTAAATCTGCATGGCTTTTTATTGCACTCAGTGTTTCCAAGAGAGAAGTTCTTGAGACATTGCAATTTGTTTAAGTGCAGAGAGCTTTTCAAAGGGCTACCTGCACACCTATTCCTTGGAAGTTATCTTCACATCAGTCCTAACATTGTCAGCTCAGGGGAATGAGATGATCTTAAAAGCAGCCTCAGAAAATCTAAGAAGCTGCAGGATTAATATTACTACATTATGGAATGAGTGAATGGGCTCTTTTGATTTAGACAAAAAGATTGGAATTTGGATCTTGCTCTTTCAGATGGCTTTCAGAAAGTACCAAAGCTGAATAGGATATGTGAAGAAAGCTGCATATTCTAGGCATGCAGCAAAAAGTTCACTTGAAAATATTGCATGAGTGGTATGTGGAATAGTATATTGTTGTCCTTGAAATGATAATACTGTTAAGGTAGGAAACAAAGCAAGGAGTTTTGAGGATGTTCTGTTGCAGGACAGTCTCCACTGTGTGACTTCTCGTTTACAGCTGACTGCTGTGTAAAAGATAATTTTCTGTACCAGTTCAGAAACACAAATTCTGTTTATCAACATAGTATTTCTTGCTAGTTTCTAAGTTTTATAGTTTTGAGGGTTTTTTTCATGCAGTGGAATAATAGGTTTGTTTCTGTAGCATGTAATATTATGTATGGCATTTCTTTTGTTACGTGCAGTGTTAAGACTAGAAGTGCTTATGAAAACAACTTAACAAAGCAATATACTCTGGCCTGTTGCCTAACTTTGTTTTTAATTGTTTTTCAAGGTTTATTAGGTGTTGGTTTCCAACGCTTTGGCAACAAAGAAAAGCTAAAAGCCAGTCCTTTACAACACCTTTTTGAGGTAAGTTGAAGTTGGTGAGGCAAACTACGAACTTCAGAAGCCAGTCCATTTAACATAGCTGTCAATTTTGGACAGAGTAGTGTGTTTGCAAGGTCATGATAAGACCTTGCTTGAAGGACCAGTGGTAGCCTGGGCCATGGCAGCAGAGGCAGTTTTCACTAGACCATGGCAGCAGAGACAGGTTTCACTAGACTGAAAAAGACAACCCAAAGGGGAGGTGATCATATGGATACGTAAGTTGGACTGGCGGTTGCTACTGCCACAGCTGGCTTGACCAATGTCAGCTGTGTTGACTGGGCATAGGTGACTGCTGACCTCACTCTGGCAACTGCACTGGAAGTGGTGTCTTGCATCTAATGCTGTGGTATGTTGGTTACCAAAGCTGTGAAAACAAGTAGCGTGTGTGGTGTAAAAATCCTCTTGTTGCTAGTATTTTTAGAATAAATAGTATTTAATTTACGTTGCTCAGTACAGGAATCACCGTGGTTGGGGAAAAGGATCTTTAAAGTGTTGTGTGTCTGATATAGAGGCTTAGCATATATAGATAAGGAGGAGCAACTGTCACTTTCCAGAATACTGTTCTGGCTCTGCAGAATACTCTTCTTCCACGAGTGCAAAAGAGCCAGGAGTGTTAGAAAGTGCAGTTTCTGCTGACAGGCATTCAGGAAATGCCTTTAAACAATAGAGAGGGCTGTTTCATTTGCAGGATTTGTCCTCTCTGTTCCCCACCAGCACAGTGGAAATGCTGTAGATTGCATTTCTTTGTGTCAGGGCCAAAATTGACTCAGTGGACTCTCCAGGTTAGCCGTAACAATTAGGGTAGTTTAACAAGTCTTGTTTTTCCAGGACTGATGAAGTTTTGGTTGTTGGTTTGCTCCATCCAAGTATGCCTCATGTTATCTGAGTTGTTATTTACTTCTTCCTCTTTGCCAGTTCCTGTGTCATCTCTTGTTTCATACAGCACAATGAGCAAAGGAACATTTCCATCAATCTTTTGACGCTTGTGAGCGATCCTTTATTGCGAACCATGCTGGGCATAAGAGAGCATGACTTATGTATTTACCTGCACAAATCCAGCAGCTGTGAGGACAGATGGACAAAATTTTCTGAATGGCAAATATTCAAGCCTTCATCCTTTAAAATTAAGATCTCTTGTGCTAACGAGGCTTTGTCAGGGTTCTTGTGTGGCACTGTCAAGTGTGCTCTTTTTATAAAGCTGAGCTGTGCTTCACCCTGAGCTGGATATGGGAACTCTTGCTAGTGCTGGTGTTTGGAAAGTATGTCACAGAATAACTGTTTTGCATAAATCTGTTTTACTGGCAAAGGAACAAATTGTGTTTGAATACACGGATACTCTACAGCTGAATACGTATTAGGTAGATTGTTTATGTAGCAGAGTAGCTCTTCCTGAGTTTGCCAGCTTCTCTGGCATAGATAAATGCTGTTTGTTTTCTCATCCCTGAGACCTGCTCAATAGAATTGATAGATTCTCAACATGTAGGTGTTTTAGAGCTGTAGGACTGATTTAATTAAATGACAAGAAGTAATTGCGTTCTTGTGGTTGTGTGTAGCTGCATATTGTTTAATTTTTATTTATAATTTTAGTCCATTCTTAGGATTTAAATTTAAAATACTTGAATTTTGCACTAAAGCTTTTAAATACTATCTGTTGCAGTAGCATGTGGGCTCTATGACCTTAAAAAAATAACTTCAAGAGCAGAGAACAGAATTCAGTCAAGCTGCAATGGGTTCAAAAGCAGTAGTTGATTGAGACCAAATTAGTTTCTCAAATATGCCCAGTGTTGAACTGCTTGTTCAGCTGTATTCCTGGTTTGTATCAAAAAACTGAGACATGTTTCAAAGTGATGTTTTTTCTGCTCTTGTGTGAAACTAATGTTTCCTGTAGTTTGTTTAAGAAGAAAATTTCCACGGCACAGTTTCTATATAAATAAATATATAGACAAATGTACTTTTCTAAACATCTTTGCACCTTTCATTTTTGGTCAGAAGTCACATGCAAATGTGCTTTTTGCATTATTTTTCCTCTGTAACATCAAAGATAGGGAGTGGAGCGGGGAGAAAGTTTAAAATGTTTGAAACTACTGAGCGAGGAGGGAGAGCATTGTTCTTGGTAAGGGTTGAGTTTTTGCTCTACTTTAAATTTCTTCTTTGGGCCAGAACTAAGAAAACATTAATCTTTGAGACCTGTCAGATGTACTGCCTGTTACAATCTCTAAAAATCTTGGGATGTAAAAGGAAGGGGAAAAGTTTTGAGAGTTTTGCTGTGGAAGCTATTTTATTTTTTTTAAATAGGCAAACCCATTCAAGCAAGGTACTATTGGCAAACTCATTGTCTGAACATTGCAGGAGTAAAGTTTTTATAATTATTGGGGTTTTGTAATCAAGTTTGCAGTGATTTGGGGATCAAAACTCTGGTAAAGACTTACAAGTTAAAGAGCATTGAACTATTTAGGTCTAAATACGTAGCGTAACCACTAGTTACTTTAATTATTTTTACATGGTACTTCTAAAAAACTCTTCCATGGGGTTTCAAGATGCTACATGTGGAAAGCAAGGAATCATTGTCTGGATGAATGTTTGGCCTTTAGATACAAAGGAGTACGTTCATGAACAGGAGAGCCAAATTTGCTGTACATTACTTAAAGCTGACTAATACAAGAGTTTGTAATGCTTTTCAGCAAACTGACAGTGCGGATGTGTGTGTCTGGGCAGATGCTGACATTCATAGGCTTCAGCCACAAAGAGATGGCGTGTATTAATATGGATGCAGAGTCCTGTAAGTGAGGGGTTTTGCATTAGAATTTGGGAGATTTTTGTGAGCTAGTAAAACACCCAAGTCAATCTAGGATTTTGCTGCTTCAACTGCCATCTCATTTTTAGACAGTGCAATTGTTATAAATATCAGCTTTTTGTGCTCCTCTGAAGAATAGTTTAGAAGTCTGTGATGGTTTCGCTTTCCTGCGTAAACGAGGTCTTCCATATTCTGCAGCTGCAGTTGTTTCAAGGTTATGAAGAGGGCGATAGTGACAGCGGTAAGGAATTATGGCATTGGTCTTGTTTCATGATAGCTGCAAATTTTCCTATTGGAGTTTGAACCGCTAATTCATCCCTTAAAGAGGAAATGTGTTCCTTTAACATATCTTCAAAATTTTGACGTTACACGTGTCATCTTTAAATGTGTTTGTATTGTTGTTCTAGAACTTGTTTTGGTTATTTTTATTGGAGGAGCATACTTCTTCAACATTTTCAATGCCGTTATATTTTAGGTGTATGTGCAGATTAACAAAGCAGCAGAAGATGAAAACACGAAGAAGCTGGCTAAGGATTTCTTTAGAAAACTGGAGGAACATGATGAGCAGACATTGTCACTTTGGAAACAATTTAGAGACTTCAGTATTGAGGAATACATCCGAATTTATAAGGTACAAATCATCCTGCTTTTCCTGTGCTGCTGTTAAAGTGGTCTCTTTTTATCTGTTGTTCCATCAGTCTAGTCGCCAGCACACGGCACTATTTTATCAAAGAGATTGCCAAGCAGTGAACTGACTTCGGAACTGAGGTTGCTGTAATGCTATCAATTCAGTGCTTTTCCAGTAAACTTTGCAGTGTTGTGGGGAAAGTGTTTCTCAGTATGCCAGCTTATGCCCCATTCTATTTGGAAGAAGCACAGTAGTAAATTTAATATCCAAGCAGACCGTCACTTTAGTTGCTGACACCCTAGACACATTTTATTTAATGGCGTCCATGTAATTGGCCCTTAGATTAATTATTCCTTCTCAGAAGCCCTAAAGCTAGGAGTATGGTACTAAGGAACAAACCAAATCAATATTAGATAAATATCGTTCACTTTTGCTTAGCTATGAAGTCAGCAACAGTCCGCTAAATTTAACAGTTTCCATGTGATAAATTTTATTGGGAGTTAACTCTGCGTTCACATTTCTGATCTAATGTTATAATGCACACTTGGGTATTTTGCATATTAACTCCAGTGTAAGAAATTACAGCAGCAAGAATTTACAGAAGTGATCAGTGCATTAAGTTGCCTGCAGGTTGAGCTGAGCAGCCATCTGTGGCGTACTGTAATCACAAGAATGTAGCTGCTGTCCACTGTTTCATGGAAGATGTTTGTGCCACTGACCACAAACTGAAAGAGGGATGATACACAGCTTCTGACACTGAATCCAGTCCCTTGCTGTTAAATACTACATAAGCTTACTCAAAACCCAGCTGAGTCCATCTAAAAACCAGCTAGTGTTTTTCTTTCCCACATTCTTGCAATGTAATTCTGGAATGGGAGCCCAGTTTTGATAGGCTTAGGCATTTTTTTCCAACTTGCAGCTCCAAAGAATTTGTGACTCATTTTATACCACTTTCTTCCAGTATTCACTTAAAATTGCGCTTTTCCATCTCCTTCCTCTTGATGTATTTATGGAAACTGGCCACGTCTTCTTTCATTCTTGATCTCAGATTTAAAAGACAAGCGGCCTGCCTTTTCCTCAGTGATCCAGATAACCTGGCTGTTCTTTAATTTCTTCCCTGAAACATAACTGCTGGATTGATGCCCAGCACTCTAGCTCAAGATCTCTTAAGTGAGATGCAGCCTTGATAACTGTAGTGGAGAGCTGACCTGTTAGACTAAGTGGGTCCTGGGCTGAGTGCGCGGCTGCACCATGATGGTCACCCATCATTGATCACATGCTGACTGGTACAGCTAGCTCTGTCCCAGTGCTATTCAAACTAATAAATGTCCCGCTGATGGACTGACGGCTTTGTTGCCCTCAGTGAAACTTTGTCTTCTGTACTATTACATTTCACCCAGTTTTGAAAGTTAAGGTCATCCTCTCTCTCTTAGGAGTACCCTCTGCCTTCCTAGTGGTGGCGATTTCTGGCTGCTCAGCAGTGTTTGTGAGCAGCTCCTGCTTTTTTAATTTCTTTTAGCATCCTTTTAAAATAGGATTGATTTCATGTTCAGGTGACTTCTCTGCAGTTCACTGGTTTCTCCTCCAGCACAGCATGTTAGAGACCTCCCTCAGACTTTTTATACTAATTGCTCTATCCAGTTTATGCCTAATTTCTCATGAACATTATATCCAACGCTGTATTCAACTCTGAGAGATTCATTCTAATGTAGAAGTCAATTAGATCAGAATCCAAACATTGTTTTCTTTTAACAATGAAGTGACATTTCCTGGAATAAAATCGATCTTTGCGTTCTATTTGACCTGTGACACAGACCTGTCATCTGACTTATTTTGAAGAAATGATTAGCCACACTCTTAACAATGTTACCCTTCTTTGATATTCTTGGATCTTTTCAGCGTCTAGGAGTGCACTTTGATGAATATTCTGGAGAATCATTTTACCGAGAGAAGTTCCAGGAAGTTCTAAAGTTGTTGGAGGATAAAGGACTCCTTCAAAAAACAATGTATGAACTCATTATTCAGTCTACTGGTATAGTTTACTAAATATTTCAGTTGCATTTCAAATGAGGTACAATGAGTGAGGTTTGTAATCTATGGGGAAGAGTTTTCTTTAGATGATTTTGGTAGCTCTTCTAGTAGAAGACTAACAGAATTTGTGCAGTCACAGCTAAAAACTAAGTTTGCCTTTTCTGTGGCTAGCACAGATACCTGGCTGTGACAAATTAACTACAATGACAGTGTTCAACTCCTATTGGCCTTTTAGGCTGTTAATTAGTTTGGTAGCTGCATGTGCCATTTAATGAGTAGAGTAAGATGAGGTCCTTGCCTTGATGAAGGAGCTACCTGGCTGAACTGGGATGTAAGCTGTAGTCAGGGAATGCACCAGAATGTGGTCAGGCAGCTCCCTGGTATCAGCAGTGGGGACAAAAAACTTAGAGGAGCAGCCTAGAAAAAGACTTAAAAGAGACAGTCATTCAAAGAAAAGAATGAGGTTGTCTAGAGTGAGGGGGTTTCCATGGCAAGAGGCCTTTTTTTAAAAATTTTTTTTTGGTCCTAACCTCTATCTTATCTGAAATTACCTGTATATTGGATCTGGCCTGCAGTTACTTCAGTGTTTTCTCTCAACTTACAGAGAAGGGACAGGAATTGTGGATCTTTCAGAAAAGAAAGACCTCTCGTCATTCTCCACTGTCATGCGTAGCGATGGGACGTCTCTCTATATAACAAGGCAAGTAAACCCATCTGTGTTTATTTTGCCAGTGAACTTTTGTACATGAGTACATTTTTAACTGGTAGTACAGATTTTGAAGCTTTTTATTTCTTGGATGGAACACCTTGACTAATGAGTAATCATAACTACAACTAGCAATGTAACTATGACAGGATGAAAATAGCTCAGGAAAAGCAACTGCTTTTAAATACTTTTTCTCCCCTTAAACACTCTGTTAGTAAATCTCCTCTTTCCGTAAATTATAATACTCTTCTCCAGCTGCTGACTTTGAAAACAAAGGTGGAATCTCTTCATCTAATAAACATTTGCCAAGTAATGAAGGTTTTAGAAAGACCTTTGCTTAAAATATTTATTGATAGCGTGATGAGGAGAAAGATGACTTGTTCAGCCATGTCTTGATTGACTCAGTGGACCACTAGCACTAGTTTTATCACCATTTTCCTGAATTTTATCACTGTTTTCTTGAATTTTATTACTGTTTTCCTGCATTTTATCACTGTTTTCCTACCTTCTCATCAGTATCCCAAAATTCCTCTTGGGGATTTTAATATGGAAGCCTTACCAATTTCTTTGTGCCAGCAATATAAATGAGTATGTCTAGCTGTCAGGGTGAACTGTGTACGGCTTTTCAGGACAAGGGTGTTAGAGTGATGCTGCAGTCAATCCTGCACGTTAGGGAGCTGCTGAATCCTGTAGCCAGATAGAGGCAAGGCTGCCACAGGTCCATGCCCACAGGTCCAAAAGCAGTGAGGCTGAGCAGCTGTTTCCAGCAGGCACGCAAACGTGTGTGTACACACAACCAAGCGGGGCAACACAAACAAAACCAGTCAGTGCTTAGACAGCAGGACTGGCCTCATTTTGTTCCCCTCTGGCTGATTAAGATGAAGATCTATTATTGTGAAGAAATACACGTGTATGTATGTTTGTGTGTGTATACATCCACATTTGTATGTAATATATATATTAACTGCATAAGTAATAGACAGGTGTATTGTATGTACAGAGTATGCATGCACAATGTGTATCCCTCCAGTAGCTGAGCTTCAGCACTCGGTCTGCCCACCAGCATGCCCCTGGACCCCCAGGTCTCCCGCTTGCTGGCACGGGGAGGGGCATGTGAGCCTCCCAGGCCAGTAGCCCCTCTCCAGTTGCTGGTACAGACACGGTGGATCGCGCCGGTAACAGAGCTTAGGAGTGCGATCCATCCAGCAGGTGGCCCTGTCCTACATAGAGAGACGCATGTACACAGGCAGGTCTCTCCGTCAACCCCCAGGCCCCATGGTCTCTCTCCCAGTTGGCCTGGACCCCTTGATGCCAACAGGACAGACTCTTCTGGGTGTCTGGTCTTTGCAGGCTCACACTTAGCTGGCTCCCAGGGTCTTTCACCTGCTCGCTGTCTAGTTTAGCTTGGTACTTGCTGTCAGTCACACACAGCTGTGTGTGCCCTTGCTCCTGTTGTTGGCAACAGAGACACCTTGGCCTGTGTAACCCATGGTCAGACTCCAGTTGCTGTCATTTAACTTCACTTCCTTCCAGACGCTCTAGTTGCTGGCAGTGCAGACGCATGGCCTATATGAGCTGTAGTCCTCAACTCCAGTTACTGATGCTCAGGCCTCCAAACACAAGTGCACACAGAAGAAAAATCCTCTCAACAAGGAAAAGTTTGAAATGGAGTTTAATAAAAAGACAGAACAGACTGTGGTGATTGGACGCAGGACACAACCAGCATTTGTTTATAAGCCACTTGTCCTTTTATCATCATCTCCCTCTCTTTTTCCATCTTTGGTTCCTACCCTAAGCATCCTATAGGGAGTGTAGTGCAACTGCAAAATGCTTTTCCCTTGCATCCCTTGTGTCCCATGTCCCTTAGGCAGTAACCTCCCTCAGTCAGAAAGTGAGTTGGAGAGCTGCTCCTGGTGACCCCAGAGGTGCGTTTCAGACTAGAACATGGGGCTGATGGCTCTCCTGTGACAGCTCTGGGAGGGGCACATGCAACTCGCTTCTCTGAACTACTTTGTGTATGTGAAAATGAGCTTTTTATCATATAACTTAACACGGAGCGTGCTGTTAGTTTTCTAAAAGAGGGTTGTTTCTTCCAAGTCCTAGTTGATTGATTGTCCCAGTAGGCAGACAGAGACTTGACTTCTTTTGCACGTAAGAACTGTCTCCTCAGTAATTTTCATAGGTAGTGATTTTAAAAAACATTTCAAACACGTTGTGAAGAAAGTACACATCCTCTTTTTTGTGTAAAGCATACATGGATCCCTCTAACTGGGTAGTCCTCTCCCCGTACATAAGAATGGATTATTTTCTTAAGAGGCAAATAGCGAGGTACGTTTGAGTGAAAGTCCAAACAGTTTCTCATTATCTTTTTCAGAGATCTTGCTGCTGCTATAGACCGTATGGATAAGCATAGCTGTGATACTATGATTTATGTGGTAAGTAATTTTAGGTTCACTGAAGGCTTTTAAGCCTCACTCTCCAACAAACCAGGGGGCCTCTTGCTTGCAATATGACTTTGGCACACAGTATTTTTGGCAGTAAAATAGCTACTCTTACTGCCCAGCAGCTCCACCTCAATGTGGCAATGTTTTCTTGGTTCTCTTTCAATTCATGACCCACAGAATGGTTGGAAAATTGGCTCTGGAGTTATTCTTTGTTATAAAAATTCATTACAATTCATTTTTAAGGAACTTTTACTCATCTGACATTTATTTTCTTTATAAATGTCATAATTTGTACTTAAACAAGTCAGAAAAAATGTTACTCTTACAAAGGGGTGTAAAATGTTAACTTGGAAATTTAGGAATTGATGATCTAAAATGAATCCAAGTCTACTCTAAAGTAGTCGTGTTATCTGAAATGTAAATTTTTATGGCTTTGAACAATGTCTCAGTATCATTAGATAGAAACGGCACATAAAGTACTGCTTAATCAATCTGGACAAAGCAGTTGTAGACAGAGAATTTTGGTTCGGTTATTTTGCTTTTTAACAATTCCAGCAGTATCAGTCATGAATAGCAGGATTATGTCCTCACTTTTGAAACTTTTTTGTTCTAGTATTAGCAAGGACATATCCCATGAGACTTTTAAATATTCTTTTGCCCCGATTTAGAAAAAAAAAAATTTTTTAAACCATGTGAAGTCAATTAATTAACATGGAAAAAAATCTGCATGTTGTTTGCGATGTCTTTGGTAATGTCCATATGTTTTCTCTGGTATAGCTTTTTCAAAAGTTAACATAGTGTTAAAAATACCATGATTCAGGGGAAGAGGAGAGATCAGTAAGCATAAAAATAAATACAGAGATAAAATGCAACTTTTAGCTAAAGCTGTCACATTCCTCCTTTTATTTTCGATCTTCAGGAAGTTTCTGGTAGCTTGCTATTCCCACATGTGCTCATAGAACAGGGATTTGCTGGTTGTGATTTTTTTGTGGGGGGAAAATGCTTGACTTGTTGGGAAGTTTTTTTGCCTCTGCTGACTGGAGGGTTCACTGGCATCAGGGAGAAGCGCGGCCGTGAAAGTGCAGTGCGTTGACAGTTAAGGAATTTTTCTGCCTAGTTCATGTGAGTAGGTAATTAACTGTATTTGTTGTACCATGAGGTAGTAGGGACCAAGGGAGAAGGAACAATTAGAAAGAAAGAAAATAATTGGCTGGGTATTTTGCATAAATTAGGGTATGGGCTGAGTGTTACACTCATGGAGCGAGCAAGCGTGGAAGCAGCACTCTTGAGTTGACTGACTGCTCCTAGCTGATCTCCAGGATCTGCTTGTCCAGAAATATGCAGCAAAATCAGAGCGCGCTGCAATCAGTGTGCCCGTTGTAATCAGTGTCCCTTTCGAGTTAGAAATGACAGATCAACCTGTCTAGTCCTGTTCCCTCAGCCCGGCTAAGGTTCCATAATTTTTGGATGACACGGTTAGTATTTTTATCTCCTCTGATTTTCTGAGGCCTCTGTAGGTCATGAGAGGCTGATAACAGAAGCTGTTAGAGAGTTTGTGGGATGGACGGCCTGGTGAGGGAACTGCCAGCCTTGCTGGGCTTTGCTGCTGTTTTCTGGCATAGTGAGTAAGGAATTAATTCGGTGTAACCAGAGGCAGAAGGACTTTGTGGGTTTGAAAACTTATTTCATAAAAATGCAGTGATATGAGCAAAATACTCAAAACATTTTAAAGTGAGTGACATGTATTATTAAAGAGGTACTAAGGTTTCATTGAATGTTGAAAACTCTTATATATGAAAAATTAAATAGTTCACAGTGTCACATGCAGTCTTCTCCCTTAAAGCTAACCCCTTAGACTACATTTGGACATGGATAATTTTGGGGCCTGTAAGGAAAAAATTGCTGTTCTTTGTAATACATATCTTCTTTTCGAGCATTTGTGTAATTTTTGCCATGCTGTTGATTCAGAAGATCAGCAATCTAGACTATAACCAATGAGACTATTAAGCAGATATTCTTTATCACAGCGCTGGGAGACGCACGGGGGGTATTTCCACAGCGTGTGCTCACCCTGGCTTTGTCTTTGTTCTGATTATATGCATTCACTACATAGACACTTATGGTATTTCCACAAAATAATTATTACATCTCCTCCTATTCTAGGAACTATTTACATACTCATTTCACTTTCCATTCTACAATCTTTGTCGCCGTCTACTGTTACTTCTTATTTTGGCCTGTCTTGGTGGTCATCACATGCCTCTGATGGTAGTTTGCTTCACTCCTCTTCCTCTTCTGTTCTTTCAGTGACCTTCTCCATTGCTTGACAGATTCTGTGGTCAGAACTGGCTGCAGTTAGCTGCAGGCAATAAGGTTCTGCCTTGAAAGAACTGTTCCCCTTCCAGTTACAAGTTATCTTGTGCAAAGATCGTTGTTAGACATAAACTGTCATCAATAACTGCTTTAAGTCATAGGAGAGAGTAATTAAAAGTGGAAGAAAGCATCATTAATATGAAAATGTGATCACATATACCTTTTTTTAAAAGTATTCACCTGATTTGTGATGTAAAACACTACAAATCACACTGAAGACAGTGGAAACTAGTGGATTCTGGAGACAGCTGAAAGAGGTGTTCTGTTTCTAAGACGAAGGAACCTTTGGTGATGTAAAACATGAGAGTATAACGAGGAGCAAGGTTCTGAAGTGAAAAGGGAGGCATTTTGTTTGATGGACAGCTCATAGATTATGTGAAACTAAAGATTAGCAAGGTTTTGTTTCATTTCATGCCTTTGCCTTCATGACCTAGGAATAGTTATTTTTTTAAAAGGGGAGATTACTTTTTCTAACAAGGTGCAAAATTCCATTGTCGTAGATTCCAGCTGTTACATTTTTCAAGTCTTGCCTATCTTCAATGGCCTTAATTCTGCTTGCAGTCATTTACTGGCACAGCATCTGTGGTGGTTTGTGTTTGTGTGTTAAAACCTGATCCTTAACAATCTTGGAGTGTTTCTGATATGCACCAATTCTGTTCCTTAGACAGATAAAAGTCAGAGGAATCACTTTCAACATTTGTTCCAAATACTGAAGCTCATGGGTTATGACTGGGCAGAAAGGTATGTATTTATGAATGTTTTTTATACATATATATTAATTTTTTTTTAAGAATGAGTGATATGTACACTGACATTACAGTGGAGGACTCTTTTGAAGAGTATCTCCTGATAGTGTCTGCTTACCACCATGCTATAGCACCCGCGATACAGGCATTTTGGATGACATTAAGCTGGAAGATGTGCTGCTGGTGCACAACTAGTGAACTTGAGTGCAAGCAGACGTTTGGCCTATAAGGAGCCAATGTCCAATAAGGAGGTAAAAAATAAGAAAACAAACCCTCAGAAATGTGTGCAACGCAGGCCTCGGGTCCTCGGCATCAGCCTTTTCACTCTGCGTGTCCGCTCCTGCGGGTCTGCTTTGTTTGCAAATGCAGACGTCGCAGTGTGTTCAGGATGTGAAAAACAGCCCTGTCTCTCATTTAACAGGTCTTTTGTAACTGCTTGCTGTAAAAATGGGAAAAAAAGAAATAATCTTTCAGAGATGCTGTGGCACAGCTTCTAGGATATTGTGTGATCACATATTAAACGATTTTCTTGAAGTGTTATACTTCAGCAGAGATCTGAACCCGAGTTTGAATCATGCTTCAGGCTTGAAATATCTATCACAGGGAAATGTATCCCTGCTGTTACTCATCGTAATTACCAATCCTGTTAGCAATGTGAAGCAAAGGTCAGTAATGGATCTGCAGACTAAATCATATTCCTCTCTGACAGACCGCATGTTTTTTGTGATTAAAGTTAGGATTTTGGCCTTCAGGAGTATTAGTCTGCCTCCTTTTGCAGGGCTTAAACTTGGCAGCAAAATTATCTTAAGTTATGGATCCAGAATGCTTGGGATTATTGTGAGGAGAAGCAGTGAATGTTTTATTATTAGCAATGATTAATTACACTTTTAGTTTAATGTGGCCACAATAGAATTATTATGACTCCCTTCCTAATCTTATTAACAGATCTGTGTTGCCTCAGTAATTTGATCTGTCTGCATCCTGCCTTTCCTCAATTTATTGCAATTTATTGCATTGAGTCCTCTGGACTAAAGCTAGTAGCAAGAGAGGTTCTCATGAGCATGCAAATGACCAGGTTATCATAATTCTGATCGTAATTTTCATATTATATAATAAGTATGGAGCTTTGGTTCCTGAAATGAGAGTTACTGATTATATCACCAAACTTCCCACGTTGGAGCCCTATTTATTCAGCTGTTTCCTGGTAAGAATCCAGCTCTGAACAAACACTGCAAACATTTCTCTTGATTAAAGAGTAATTTCGGGTCCTGCTGCTTTTCAACACAGGTGCCAGCATGTGTCTTTTGGTCTAGTTCAAGGGATGAAGACTCGAAGAGGAGAAGTAATTTTCCTGGAAGATGTTTTAAATGAAGTTCGCTCAAGGGTCTTACAAAACATGGCTTCTGCAAAAAGTTAGCTATTTCAGGTCTTATTAATTTCTTTTGATGTTCTGTGTTGATCAAAAACGTGTCGTCTTTTCTATCCTTCATTTTCCCTGCATCAGACTAATCACAGTGATATGCCCTGCTCTGTGTGCTTTTTGTATCTTCCGTAACATAAGCAATGTTAAAATAATCCTCTGCAACTCTGTGAACTTCCCTAAATTACAAATCTGCCAATTTTAATATCAGTGAAGTTATTTCATCATGCTTTTCTGCTGGGAAGAAAGTATCTGCCTTTGGGAAGCAACAGTTGCTTTTTTTTCTGGAGGGACAAACTAGTCAATAAAAGGTTGGGGGCCAGAGTTCAGGGAATAGTCAGATTTTATCCAGAATATTTGTGGCTCTGACACTTTCCTCCGGCAAGATTGACCGTAGCTTGTCTGCAGCTTGTCACCCTCTCTGCCTCCTGACTCTCGGGAGTCCCCCGGAGATCACTGCTCTGCAGCAGGATCTGCCGAAGGAGTTGTTTGCCTGCACCTCGGCCTGTGGCTCTTGACACAGTGAAGATCCCAGCAGTTCTCAGGGACGTGCTGCCCCCTCTTGTGCTTTCTGGAGTTACAGTGCTCAGTTCAGTCAGTGAACTGAGATTAAGTCGTGTGCATTTGCCTTGCTCTGCCTCCTCAGCTTTTTTACTCCAGATAATTTTGCCTCTAGGGTGGATAGAAGGGTGATCCTGACTCATAGCGATGTCTTCAGTGTTTGAAAAGTATTTGGATACACACTGAAATACAGTACGAACGTGTGAGTGGCATCAAAATGCCTCGCTGTCATTGAAAAGATTTTGAGACCTACCTTTAAAAATCATGCCTGTGTGGAGCTGGTTAGTTAAATAGCTTTGTACAAATTCTTTTTTTTCCTGTTAGCTGTACACAGTTCTTCTGCTATTTAAATTTCCATTATTGGTATCCTTTTTCTTTCTATTAATCTCAATGAATCCTACTGTCCATGTAAATTCTCTGTCTGTTTCCTTTGCCACTTTACTTTCTCTTAGATAGCTTTGCCTGTGTCTCATCTAGCATCTAAACAAAAGCCTGAACTCTGAGATGGTCGGTCTCTTTTGAAACAATTCTGTTATGAAATGTAATAGTGTAATCCAAATGTATTTGCCTTTTTGAATGAACAGCCAGTCTGAGACTTCTCAGGGCTATGAACTATCCCCACACTTTTCAAGTGTAGTCTTTTCTGAATTTTGTAAATCGCAAAGGTATGAGTAGTACAAACTACTTAAAGTTGTCTCAGTTGGCTTTGCTGACCCGGAACAAAGTGAATAGCAAAACAAAAGACAGAAATCTGAGTGTACAAAAATTGTATTGCAGAATGGTTTCAGCTTAAGTGGCACCTTAAGAGAACAAGCTGAATTCTCCGTATTCTGCTGTCAGTGGGAATTCAGCTGGGACAGGAGATGATAAGCTGAACTCTGCAAGTTAAATAGATTACATGTACCAAAATAAAACAGTGCACTTGGCCCTTGCTAAAGTGGAACAGATCTGCCTTGTGAGAGACTGTGGTAAGAATCCTCCTTTCTCTAGTAGAAGCAAACAGGAAGAGGAGATTCTGGTAGAGCGCGCTGTGATCTGAGTTTAAAACCAGAAAGTGTTATGGATGGCAAAAGCATCACCTTCTTACTAGGCAAGGTTGTGGGTCCAAACACAAGTAATTGATTTCTCAGAAGATACGTAGGCAAGTTTACTGTACTTCTGATTAACCAGAGCATCAGCTTGGCCCTGCAGACTTCCCTGTGAGACAGGGACTGAAACAGGCGCTTTGGTGGGTTTGTGTACACAACAGCATGCTGCTTATCTGCTGAAGCATATCTTTCAAGTTGTGAAAAAGCTGGAAATAGCTTTGCAGACATGTCTCTGTTGTGAGGATATTCTTTCTTAGACTCTTCCGGATTAATTAATCTTGGATTTCTTACTGTATGCATCCTGACAGGTTCCATATTGCTAGTTTGAGAAGATACTGTTGTATTGGCATCTCAAAGTGAGCAAAGGAGTCATTATGCTACTACAGACTTAAGATTTCTTTGTTTCTGTTTCTCTTCAGCAACCAAAGAGACAAAAGACCCTATGGAGACAGCAGAGAAAGTTGGTCTTGCCGCACTAATAATTCAGGTGAGTTTGAGCTGCCTCCCACGGTATTTGCATCTTCTATGAATTGAGATGGAGAGCTGTATCTAGATGATATTAACTTATTGTTCCAGGACTTTCGAGGCCTTTTGTCATCTGATTATCAGTTTAGCTGGGATCGAGCTCTTCAAAGTCGTGGAGATACAGGCGTGTTCTTGCAGTACACACATGCCAGACTCCATAGGTAAGAGGAGTGTTTCTGTGCAGAGATACACTTTGACAAGTATTTTAATCTTATTAACTTGCTGCTTTGTTAAATTACAGTGTTAACTCCTTCCCTAAATATGACACACATTCACTTTTTCAGCAGAAGTGTGAGTTTACAATAGGAATCAGTGAGACTTCCCAAAGAGCAAGCCAATTAAAGTGAAATTACTACCTCACTTCCACAGGGCTGAGCCAACAGTCCATGTACTTTTCAGTTCTAGAAACAGCCTCTCTGTGTGGTTGGTCTCAGTGATGAAGAACAGTGACCTTAGGATTAGGGAAACTGATGTAAAAATCAAAATGCCTGTGTATGTAAAATATACCAAATCACAGAACTTAGATGGTTTTGGCTGCCACTGTAGCTAGTGGGTGGGATCTTTTTAACATTCTGTGATTTCACTGTTGGTAACCACGGTTAAAAGCAGACCCCTTCCTGTTGAATCAGGTCAAACACATCACATGTTTAATTATTTCTTTAAAAAGAACTTCAGAGGAGTCCAGTTCGAACAGTTTTATCAACTAGTGATCTGTCAGAGCATTTTTAAGGCAGACATCAGTATGTATTTTCATAAAAGCATGTAAGATACCTTCCTGGATCAGGCCAAAAGTCTGTACCAACCTGGCATTCTGTCTGAGGCAATCGTAATAGGAGATGGTATTCAGGGAGCGCATGCCAGCCTGATGCCTTTCTGTAGCCTATTCCTCTTGTTCTCCCTTGTCATCTAGGTATTGGTACTGGGGTGCAATTACTAGGGCATCAACTAGCTCCCTAGTTCTTTTAGCATCAGCTTCTGTTGTCTGTGTATATTTCTCAGCCTGCCAATACTGAATGGCTAACACAAATTTAGATTTTTTTTTTATCTTGGGTTGAAGTCAGCTAGTCTATCTCAGTATTCCATTCAGCTTGAGCAGAACATACCTACCCTTCTTTCTTAAAAACACAAATTACTGGGGTTTTTGTTCAGCTTTGCTAACAAGAGTTTTTCATCCAAATTTGCTTTTCATTCTTACATTTTAGTTTAGAACAGATGCATGGGAATGAGCAGCTAACTGATGTTAATGTGGCCTGCTTGCAAGAGCCAGATGCCATCGCTGTCCTTCAGCATCTTCTCAGGTTTGTCTAGTTTTCTTTCCAAATACTAATTCCTTTAAAATAAGCTTGTGGATTTTCTGCCAGACACAGACTGCCTGATGATGAGAGGAAAAATTGTTATTTCAGGCAGCGGCTTGTCTGTTGGGTCATAATGATTGCAAGAGAAGCTCTCACTTGAAGTCTTTGTGGATTTTA